ATCTCTCCCTCTCCCTTCCTCTCTCTGTAAAATCAATAAAGAAAAAAAAATAAAAAACAAAAGATATGTGTGGAGAGCCTTTTTTTCGTGGCGCCTTGGAGGCGGTCGGCTGCTTTGGGATGAAGCTGAACATCTCTTTCCCAGCCACTGGCTTCCAGAAATTCAGTGAAGTGGACAATGAACTCAAACTTAGTACCTTTTATGAGAAGTGCATGGCCACAGAAGTTGCTGATGTCCTGGGTGAAGAATGGGAGGGCTCTGTGGTTTGAATCAGTGGTGGGAACGACAGACAAGGTTTCCCCATGAAGCAGGGCGTCTTGACCCATGGCTGTGTCCTCCTCCTGAGTAAGGGGCATTCGTGCTATAGACCAAGGAGGACTGGAGAGAGGAAACGCAAATCTGTTCGGGGTTGCAGTGTGGATGCCAATCTCAGTGTTCTTAATTTGGTCATTATAAACAAAGGGGAGAAAGACATTCCTGGTCTCGCTGATACTACTGTACCTCCTCACCTGGGTCCCAAAAGAGCTAGCAGAACCCAAAACTTTTCAGTCTCTCTAAGGAAGATGATGTCCACCAATATGTTGTGAGAAAGCCCCTAAACAAAGAAGGTAAGAAACCTAGAACTAAAGCATCCAAGATTCAGCGTCTTGTTACTCCATGTGTCCTGCAACACAAATGTTGGCGCATTGCTCTGAAGAAACAATGTACTAAGAAAAATAAGGAAGAGGCTGCAGAATATGCTAAACTTTTGGCTAAGAGAATGAAGGAGGAAAAAAAAAGAGAGAATGAAGGAGGACAAAGAAAAATGCCAGGAACAGATCGCCAAGAGACTAAGGCTGTCCTCTCTGGGAACTTCTACCTCTAAGTCTGAGTCCAGTCAAAAATGAGCTTTTCTAAGACTAACAAATAAATAACAAACATAAAAAAAAAAAAAAAAGTGTGGTGTGTGTGAGCAAGTAGTGTCCCTAGCTGTGTGTGTATGAAGATTTCTAAGGTGGCCCTAGTAATTACATTGTGGAATGTTCTTATAGAGGAAGTTGTAATTGGTCTGTGTTTTATTATGTTTTTGCTGTTAGATCAGTACTATGCTGAATATTGGGGAAGATAAAAAAGAACAAGACATAATGTTATGGTCAGATTGGCCAGACTGTCATCTATAGATACAGTAAAATAAACCAGCATGATTGAATGGCAGCAGTTAAATATACTTTTATAGTGGCAGAACAACTTTACATACCAATTCAGCTCTGCAGCTTTTGCTCCTTAGAGCCCTGAGCAAATTCTTGGAGAGTCAGCAAGAGGGAGAATCCCTTTTGGAGTTAGGTGTCAGAGACAGTCAGTCTAGTTTTGATTTCACATGATTTCAAAGTGCTTGAGAAGACTTTTTGCATTGCATAATGATTCTAGAACTGTGGTTGGGTAAACAAGGTACTGAAAACGAATATGTAATATTGATTTTTTACTGTGGAAGCATGGTGTGCTATGAAGTGTCATCTTGTAATTTTGTTTTTCACTATTGGGTATAAATAAACTGAATCTTTTGATATATTACATTACATTATATTATATATATTATATTATATTATATTATATTATATTATATTATATTATATTATATTAGAATAGCCTGTTCACCTTGAAAGCTAGTAGTCTTCTTCCTTATATAATATAATCATATAAATTAATATTATCAGCTGGTTGAATTATTTTTTTTTTCCCTGTGAGGAATTTATATTTTACTTTATCTTAATTGTTAAGCATGGAACAAAGGCATTTTCTCCTTATCCTTAGTATGAAATATGAGCAATATTATCACAGTGTACTGATCAGCATGCCAAGAATAATGTCAAAACCAAAATCTTTTTCTTTTAAGCTGTTACTTCATAAAATCTTTTCCCTCCTTCATTCAGCATTTATTACTGAGTGCCTACTTTGTTCTAGACATTTCTTTGGGATTCACTTGTGAGGAAGGAATTTTTCTTGCCTTCATAGAAGTAAAAGTATAGAAGATGAGATAGTTAACAATTACAATAATGTGTGGTATGCATTCAAAATGGGGAAGAAGAGGTGTACTTAGCAGGGGGCACCTTACTTGGAGCAAGAGATATTTGAGACCTGAAGAATGATAAAGAGTTAAGTAACTGAAAAGTGAGTATGGCAATATGGAGAAAAGGGAGGTGATTCCGGGGAGAGAAAACCCATGTGCAGTAACCCACGGGTAAAACAAAACAACAAAACAAGCAAACAAAACAGGTATCTTCTCACATGGCAAACAATATAAGGAGGGATGATACAAGGAACTTTGAAAGACATTACTTACTTTGGATCTTGTCCTATAGACACTAGAAATGCCTGAGAGGTTTTTTTTTAGCTGTGGATTGACAGGATTGGATTTACTGTTTACACAGTGGTTTCAGTTGCAGGGAAAAAGAGGGCAAAGGCAAATTGTGGGCTGGAGGTCTAGGGCTGTAATGGCAATACTTGTAAGAGATGTTGTGATCCAGGACTGGGGCATTCACAGTGGGATTGGAGATAAAGGGATGGATTCAAGAAATACTTAGAAGATAGAACTATACAGGACTTAAGTATTGAAGGAAGAATCAAGTATGTGCCTAGGTTTCTGTCTTGGGCCAGAATGATGATGATGATGATGATGGTGCTTATACCAATTACTACCTCTCACCTCCAAGTGTACCCTTCACTGCCTGCCCTGTGAAAGTTAATGTGGACCCTTTAGATACTTTCCCTTGACCAGTGGGAGGATGTTAAGAGAGAGATTTAAGGAGGAAAGAGTTTCACGTGCTACTTGCAGTGTGCCTGCCTGGCAGGGTCCTATGGCATTGGGAACTTCTCTAGTGTTTAGTTAGGCTCCTGCAGCTCTCAGCAACCTAGAAGCTGTCTCCTCGTCCTCCACCCTGGGGATTTTTGTAGTAGAGTGCCTACAGTGAGACACTTCTCCACAAACAACTTTCTTTGTCATTCTAGAGGACAAATTTCTGTAAAATTCCACAGAGTGGATTTCCAGAAGTTGCACCAGATGTGAGTCCACTCCGACAAGGCCTGGCTCTCAGCTCTAGAGTTGGAGGAATTCTTCCTTGGGTACTCTGTCTCAGCTCTAAGGGTAGTAGCGGTATATCATATTATTTGCTATTATATTTATGTTATATTTACTATTATATTTTATATTATCTGTTATTTTTAAGAGTTAAAAAAATTTTTTATTGATTTTTAGAGAGAGAAGAAGGGAGAGGGAGAGAGAGACAGAAACATCGATGAGCGAGAACATCAATTGGCCACCTCCTGCATGCCCCTCAGTGGGGATCGGGCCCACAACCTGGGCTTCCCTCAACCAGGAATCGAACCGATGATCTCCTGGTGCATAGGTCGTTGCTCAACCACTGAGCCACACCGGCCAGGCTTAAGAGTTCCTTTTTTAATTCGTACCAGCCAATTCCTTATTACTCCAATCCCCTGCTATAGTCAATAATTCTTCGTCTTAAAAACTTATTCAAATTATTGTGCGATTTTTCTTTCCCAATTGGACTCAGGCTGATACAGTGTTCTGATGTGATACCTTAGAAAGAACATACTTGGGGAGAGGGATAGACTATGCTCCTCCTCTTCTTTCTCTGTAGAATGGGAATAATACACTTTTCACAGGGTTGAAGTGATGTGTTGTTTATAATATATTATTCCAGGGTTGTAGTGAGGGTGAAATGAATTGAATGTATGTAAAGAACTGAGCACAGTGTCTGTCACACAACCCCCTGGTTTGTATTGTTGGAATGCTGGGCATTGTGATGGGTGACAGGTCTAGAGAGATGACCAGGGTTGCTGGTTTCACCCTGAGGGCATGAGGAGTGGGGAGAGGCTTATTAAATGTCATAAAATGCCCAAGAGAGTCTTTTGAGGAGTCCCAGAGGAGGTGAAGGCTGAGTTGGATCTTGGAGCTGGTACAGTTTTGCCACATGGAGGAGGGGAATAAAGGGCCTTCTGAATAGAGGGAGCAGTATTAGCAGTGGGAGAAGGGGAGTGTTTGACAGTGCAGTCCACAGTGGGGTCATGGCCAGCCCTGGAGTTGGGGTTGGTGATAACAGAGGTGTACCTAAACTGGACACACCCTCAGTTAGAATAGATGTTTATTTCACGTCACTGGGTTCCATAGTGCACTTCACTCTTATTTCTAGATGTATTGCTTTTTATTCTCTCTACTAAACTGTTGCTAGTTAACAACAATCTAAAATTATTTAGAACTTTTATTTGGTGCCAACATTTCCCTTAGGCTTTCGTTGAATGTGACTTTTATGTGTACTGTGAGTTGAAGTGTCTGGAAGGGAAGTTGGAGCACTGCACCAGGGCCACTCCATTGGATTTACTCATGATTGAATAACCGCTTGATTCCTGGACATTGATAAAGCTCAGAACTGTTTACAATGCATACTTTTCTCCAGCTTGAAATTCTTTCTGAAAAGTTCAACAACTAAAGAAACGAATATTCCTCAGAATTGTATTGTTCTTTCAAGAACTCAAGTTTTTGGAGATAGGAAATAAAAGTATGACTAACTTGATTCCTTGGAGGAAAAAAACAGTAATTCAGCCTTTGAAACTCTCTTTTCTGATGGGAATATTCCTTCATTTTTTTCTTTTTCTCTATCTGGCAAACTCCTGCCCCTCTGTGAATTTGCTGCTCAAATGTCAGTTTTCTATGAAATCCTTCCCTGAAGTTTCTGAATATTTGTTCCTATCAAAGGACTGTTCTAAGAGAAGTCAATTATAATGCTGATATGCTTTCAGGGAGGACCTTTGAGTAAAAAAACAAAAACAAGCCAACAAATATTCTTTGGAATTTGTTGTCATAAGATCCTGGTTGATGTTCCTTGGCTGGAATGGCATTCTGATCCAGAAATTCTTTTGAAAGTTCTGCTTCTCAGTCTTCAGAAGAATGATGAATATATTCTCTAAAGAAATATTAGAAGAATAATCATTGGTTTTTTTTTCAGAAAGAAGAGTTAAACCATTCTTTATTGGCTAGGACTTCTGGGAGTTTTACAGGAAGGAAGCTAAGAAGGAAGATGTCAAACTGTGACCCTCTGAAGGTTTTTGTTTTCATTTTCCCTTGTTTCTCTTAGATGTAACAGACACCTATAGGGAACTCTTTGTTTTTTGGTAAAGACCTACTATTTATGTAAAAGAACGTTTACAGACCAAGGGAAATAAGACTCCTGGGGTAGTTCTACTTTCCCTGACTATGTACTTTGTAAAATGACAGAAGTTGAAGTGTGATTCTTCTGATAATTACCTCTTCTGCTTGTTTGGGTTACAAACCAAGGGCAGGAGCCATTCATAGATTATTAAATTTTGGGGTTGTTTTGAAGGTTGATAAAGTATTTCATATTAGTGACTTATTGAAAAATGGAAAAAAATGATTAAGAACAAGTATAAATTTGGTAGTTTAAATATAGAATAATTGAAGAAATTATATGGTGAACACCTCATATCTACCACTTAGTTGTACAGTTACATTTTATTATATTTTCTATATGATATACATTTACCATATTACTGTATTATGTAATCATATATTTATCCTCTATCTGCCCCTTTATTTGTATTTAAGGATTATCATTGCAGCATTTTATATTATAACAAAAGGCTGAGAACAAGAATAGTTCGGTGAATATGGTACACCCATACAATACAGTTCTTTTTTTTTTTTTTTTTTTTTTTTTTTAATCCTCACCCGAGGACATTTTTCCATTTTTTGTTCAGGTAGAGTGGGAGGGAGAGAGAGGAACAGAGAGAGAGAAACATCGATGTGAAGGGACACATCGAGTGGTTGCCACCCGCACAACCGACCAGGGCCGGGGACAAACTGCAACCGAGGTACGTGCCCTTAGCGGGAACCGAACCCGGGTCTCTCAGGACCGCAGGCCGACGCTCTAACCGCTGAGCCAAACCGGCCAGGGCTAATACAGTTCTATGGAGCAGTTAAAAAGAATGAGGCATTTTTGTGAGTACTGACCTAGAACAATCCCCAAGATTAATGAAGTAAACCACAGAGTTGCAGGATATATGAAGTATACTATTTATTTGTATGAGAATAAAAGGTATTCATACATATATGCTCTATATGCATAGAATATCTCTAGAAAGCTTAAACAAGAAACTGATAAAAGTGGGTGTGTTTCTGGCTGCCTCCTACAGTGTGTATATATTTATATATAAAACAAGTTTTTAAAACCCTCGCCTGCTTATTTATGTGCTTCTCTGAAATTGTCAGGATGTCAAGATGTCAAACTCTTAATCCTTAGATTTTTTTTTTAAATCCTCATCCGAGGACGTTTTTCCATTTTTTGTTCAGATAGAGAGGGAGGGAGAGAGAGAGAAAAAAACATCGACGTGAAAGTGACACATCGATTGGCTGCCTCCTGCATGACCCAACCAGGGTCAGGGACTGAACCGCAACAGAGGTATGTGCCCTTGACTGGAATCGAACCCACGACTCTTTGGTCCACAGACCAACACTCTAACCGCTGAGCCAAACCGGCCAGGGCTATTTTCTCCATTTTTGTTTGTTTGTTTGTTTTAATCACCCGAGGACATTTTTTCGTTTATTGTTCAGATTGAGTGGGAGGGAGGGAGGGAGAGAAAGAGAGAGAGAGAGTGTGTCTCTCTAGAGAGAGAGCGAGAAAAATCGATGTGAAAGGGACACATTGAGTGGTTGCCACCCACACGACCCAACCATGGCCGGGGACAAATTGCAGACTCACTGCAACTGAGGTATGTGCCCTTAGCGGGAACCGAACCCGGGTCTCTCTGGACTGCAGGCCGATGCCCTAACTGCTGAACCAAACTGGCCAGGGCTATTATCTCCATTCTTATAGAAATATTTTATTTATTTTTTATTTTTTTATTTTTATTTTTTTTTATCCTCACCCGAGGACATTTTTCCATTTTTTGTACAGATAGAGTGGGAGGGAGAGAGAGGAAGGGAGAGAAAGAGAGAGAAACATCGACGTGAAGGGACACATTGAGTGGCTGCCACCTGCACGACCAACCAGGGCTGGGGACAAACTGCAACCAAAGTACGTGCCCTTAGCGGGAACCGAACCCGGGTCTCTCCGGACCGCAGGCCGACGCTCTAACCGCTGAGCCAAACTGGCCAGGGCTTATAGAAATATTTTAAAGTACCTAGAAGAAACCCTTAGAGTGCTTTAGTGTTTTAGAAAGCCTAATGTGAACCATTATAGGGGATGAATCAGCTGCATCTGCCAGTTCTTCCTTCCTGTGTGTTCCCATAATTTTGTTTTGGTTTTTTTATTTTAGCAGCTGTAATCTCCTTTTCTTTCTCCAAACCAGTCTTCCTCCTTCATTTGTGCACATGATATGCTTCTCAATCTCTGTCTGGAGAAGGCTGGGGAATCTTTGTTCTAGAGCAGAATTGGCAGACTTTTTCTGTAAAGGGCCAGATAGTAAATATTTTAGCTCCTGCAGGCCATGTGGTCTCTGTTACACCTGCTTCGCTCTGCCCTTGTAGGAGAAAGCAGCCAACCATAGGCAATGTGTAAATGAATGGAATAGACTGTGTTTCAGTAAAATTTACAAACAAAAACAGGTTGTATGCATTTAATCCATGGGCCCTAGTTTTCTAGCCCCTGATCTAGAGCCTATAGAAATTTTATTTTCACTTTTATGCCTCAAAGGATGCTATATTTATTTAATGAATTGGAGCCCCCAACATCACTTTCATTAGATTGCTTTAAAAATAATAATAGATATTTTGCTGTGGAACAGTGCATCTTAGTTTTGGTTTCTTTTTGGAGACGTGCGTTCTTGGTGTTGAAGAGGTATAGATTTTTTCCCCCCTTTAAATAAGGTTTGAGCAGGGTTCATTACTTATGGTCTCATGTGAATCTAACAAGAAAAAAAAACTCTGGTCCCTTGCTATAACAGCTGAGGTAAGCTATATAACCTGTGGTGCATGGTAAAAAATGTCTTTTAATAAATTTTTGAAGATAAAGAATACTAGGAAATCTCAAGTTATGATATGAGAGAGGTGCCTATAGAGTTATTAGGTTATAGCAGTGGTTCTCAACCTTCCTATTGCTACGACCCTTTAATACAGTTCCTCATGTTGTGGTGACCCCCAACTATAAAATTATTTTTGTTACTACTTCATAACTATAATTTTGCTACTATTATGAATTGCCATCGGAAATATGTATTTTCCGATGGTCTTAGGCGACCCCTGTGAAAGGGTCGTTCGAGCCCCAAAGGGGTCGCAACCCACAGGTTGAAAACCGCTGGGTTAGAGGGATGGTTTTAATTTATTTTGAGTCCTTGTCAGGTTGCTTATTGCATGCTTAGGAAAAGTGGATATTGGTGTTAGTGCTTTGCAGCTAACATAGGTCTTTGTTGCCATGGCTTCTCATTAGCTCCTTAAGATCCCTTTATGTCTCTGGCTGCCTGGTTAGTACTTGAGGGGACAGATGCAGGCTGAGGTGTAGCTCTGGGGTGCACTGGCTATATGGGGCCAATATTTGTATGTTCTGTTAAATGTATGAACTTGGGCTTTTGCTGGAGTGAACTTTGGCCACTTGGATTAATTATAATATGCTATAAGTCACCTTTGTTTTAGAGATCTGTGCAATTTGTGTTATTTAAAACTTTTTAAAAAATGCAAATTATAGCTGGTGTGGCTCAGTGGTTGAGTGTCGACCCATGCACCAAGAGGTTGCCGGTTCAATTCCCAGTCAGGGCACATGCTCAGGTTGTGGGCCCGATCCCCAGTGGGGGCATATGCAAGAGGCAACCAATCGATGTTCTCTCTCATCGATGTTTCTCTCTCTCTCTCCTTTCTTCTCTCTCTAAAATAAATAAAGAAAATAAAAAAAAATAATAATAATAAAAATCTGTTTTGGGTGCTTTCCTGTTTTTTTTTGGGAAGTATAGCTAACCTTTAATAATGGTGGGTATTGGAAATATTATAGATTTTAATTTAAAATTTTTTTTATCCTCACCCGAGGACATTTTTCCATTTTTTTGTTCAGATGGACTGGGAAGGAAAGAGAGAGAGAAACATAGATGTGAAAGGTACACATCGAGTGGCTGCCACCTGCACAACCCAACCAGGGCCGGGGACAAACTGCAACCAAGATATGTGCCCTTAGCGGAAACCGAACCCGGGTCTCTCTGGATTGCAGGCCAACGCTCTAACCACTGAACCAAACCGGCCAGGGCAGAAATATTATAGATTTTAATAACAACTACCAATCCATTTTGAAAAAGTCAGTCAAAAAAAAAAAAGTCAGTCTACAATATTAGAATAGTGAAAACTTGCTAATTAGAATGGTTTTATGATTAGAATTTAATTATTTCAGGCTAAAAATATCAGAAACTGACTCTAGAGGGCAGTATAACTCAGCATGTTCATGCTTCTGGAATTTAAGTTTTGTTTTGGAAGAATAATTCATGTGTTCTGAACTCTTTCCCCACTATACAGTGTCCCAATTTGATAGAATGTATGTTTTGGAAAGAAGTGCTCTGGTTTGGCATAGAAAGGTTGCTTAGATAATATATCACAATTATTGGCCCTAGGGAATATTCATGCTTAGTTTAAAACATGTGGACTTAGAAAATGTGGAATTTTCTTATTTTCAACTAAATTGAATATAGTTTGCTTTTTAAGCATTTGGGGAACATTAAGCCAAAGAAATGGTATATCTTGTACTTTCAGATATTTTGGGTCTGAAGTAAATGTACCCTTTAGTAGAGAATTCAAACAAATGGGAGTTTGACTTATTTTGAAACTTTGAAAACATTTAATTAAGTTTAATTTTTCAAAATGTACATCTGGTGGAACCTGTTCATTAATCTTCACCAACAGCTGGGTCATTCCCACCTTTGGTGTTTCTGGTGTATATTACTTGAGTTCTGTGCTTTGAAACTGGTTTAATAAGCCCTTTCTAAGGTAAGGAGCTGCTGAGGGGCTGCCCTGGCCAAGGAACTTTGGATCTTCAGTCTCTCAGAGAAAACAGCTGAAATTATAAGGTTATAGTTGGGAACTTCCTTACTGAGTTTGTCCTGTGTTGCTTTG